TTCTCCAGAAAAGGATGGACCTCCTCAATCCAATAGCCCAGGGTGAATCGGTTCCTGCCAGCAATCATATAGGTGAGTTTGGATGTGGTCCAACCCCTTTAGCTTTCATAACTGGAGCACATGCCAACATCTTGCCCACAATCTCATGAGATTCTAGACTATACAGCAGGTCTCTGGATTCCTGACTATAGCAACCATGAGATAATAAATGCCAGCTATTTTGAAGCAATAGGCAATTAATGCAATTGATGTTAGGAAAATAGCATCAGTGCTATCTATGAGGTTAAAAGCATGAACTATGGAGCCCAACTTCCATCTTAAATAAGTTGCTGATGCTCTCTATACCTCAGGGCCTTCAACTATAAAGTAGTTAACAATTCTTAACTCTTAAGGTAGTCAGAAAAATTCACAAGTTAATATTTATAAAGGACTTAGAAAAATGCCTGCTGTGTCAGTAGCCATGTAACCATGTAACATGGTTTTCAAAAAAATCTATATGTTCCTCTCTCACCACTGTCCCATACAATTGATTTCTGTTAAATTACTAAATTTTATACTGAGGATAAGTGTATGAAGTATTGTTTACTCTCGTCTCTATTTCATAGGATTCCCTATTTCTCTTAAGAGTAGGCAGGGACTAGGAAGGTGGCTCAGTGGTAGAGCGCTTGCTTTGCATGCATGAAGCCCTGGGTTCGATTCCTCAGCACCACATAAGCAAAAAGAAAAAAGCTGGAAGTGGCACTGTGGCTCAAGTGGTAGAGCGCTAGCTTTGAGCTGAGGAGCTGAGGGACAGCGCCCAGGCCCAGAGTTCAGGCCCCACAACCGGACCCAAAAAAAAAAAAACAAAAAGAGTAGGCAATATGTTGTACAGTTGAGATTCAAATCCATGTATATTTGAAGCTGTTATGTTCCTAAGAACTCTTTTATTTCCCCTCCCTAAATTTACCCCACATATAACCAGTAAGCACTTGGAAGTCAGAGGACAACCACGGTTATTTAGATGGAGTCAGCTGAAGGGTATCTCAATAGAAATAACATCCTTGTCTACTTCAGTCGGTCTAAATCAACTGTCCTGAAGAATGAGGAACACCCTGCTGAGACTTGATTTATGAAAATAGAAAACGTTTTATATTCTTTAAGGAATACTTTAATGCATACATATGGTAGATGTTCTATAAGTATTTACTGAGGAAAAATCTAACCACATGAAAGAGAATATAGATATTTATCCTTTCCAAATTTCAGTATGAAATACCTGTCATCAATTATCCTCAGTGTTAAAGTTTTCTTTTGTTGTTGTTTGGGGGAGATCTCTCCCATTTCAGAGAACAATATTACAAAGGGAAACTCAGCTAATCTTAGAGGTTACAAAAATTGTTTTATAAAAATATGTGTGTTATTTCAAATATCAAATACAACATATAATCCTATTACAGTAGATCTAAAAAGATTTTTACTGGCAGGCAGCATACTTGAGGAAATTGTGTATTATACACATGCTATTGTGAACAGGGCAGTAGTTTTAAAAGTACAAAACAACCTCAGAAGATACATGTAACACAACCATCATAGATCCCAGAATAAATGTTCACAAACCTGTGAAACTTTGTATCTGCACCAAAATAATGAGAAAAATAAAAATACTCAACTTTCCATTATAAAAATTGTCTTCCAATTTAATGATATGTAAACTAATGGGCTACTTAAGTATGACAGATTCATGTCAAGATCATTTGATTAAATTTACACCTTTTGATTGAAAGGGGATAGTATACAGTAAGTATATATTCATTAACCTTTCTGGTTGCTAGGTATTATTACAAATGAAGGCCTTAGGAAACTTGTCAAGGTAACTAAATCCAGAAAATGAAATAGTTCAGAGTCAGCCCCTGATAAAACCACATAAAAAAAAACATACAAATGCTCAATGCCAGAAAAATTTTCAGACTACTAAATGGGATCTCTTCAAGCTGATACCAAGAGTCTAAAACTAACTTGTCTCCAAATCCCAATCTTATGAGGTCTGGTATGGTCTCAACTACTCGGTCCATCAACACATATCTAATGCACTCATTCCATATGCCAGACACTGCTCTACCACGTTGACACTTTCTGCCTTCTGTAGAATTGTATTTAGAAGATATTAAAAATAAGCTAAATAAATAAGTCATGCAATATAAAAAATTGACTATCCAGGAGAAAAAATACTAAAAGAATAGAAGAAGAATATGAGGATCATGAGAAGCTTGAGTTTTCGAATTTGACAGGTGATCAGTGAAGAACTCACCAAGATGGAAGTATCAAAGACTTTCAGATAATGAGAAGTCAGCATGTGCATATACAGTATGGGGGAATAAAACAAGCAAAAAAACAAAAACAAAAGCACAGACCTCAAAGCAGAAGAGTGACTGGGGGGTCAAAGGAATAGGAAAGGAGGTACCAAGTAACAAGAGGAATGTTGTAGGAGATAAGGCCAAAAACTAATACAGAGCCCAGACAAGACTTTCTGAGTTAAACAGATATAAGAACCAATGAGCTATGAACTGTGTGTTCTTCTGAAGAGTCACAATCCTCATTGCTCTCACTAAGTTTCTTATGTCCCCATCACCTGATTATGAGCTAAGCAAAAGATAGCTCATTACTATCCCCATTAAAGTGCTATGAAATTTGAACATGTTCTATTTAATACTGCTCCTTGTTACCTGGGTTGTTATAATACAACTTGCATATAAAATAGTTTCCCCAAAGAAATAAAAGGAGAACCAGTGAGAGTCTTTGAAGGCTTCAATCTGAGAAGGGGCAAGCTGATCTGTATTTTAATTATATTTCTCTATTATGCTTTTTTTTAAAAATGACCAAGAAGGAGGAGGAGAATTAATGATATTCACTAGACATTACACTGGAAATGAACTTTACAATTTGGAGGAAGGAAGTTGGGGGGGGGAGGAGAAAATGAGGGAGGAGGTAACACTGTTCAAAAAAGAAATGTATGCATTATCTTATCTATGTAACTGTGACCCCTGTACATAAACCTTACAGTAAAAAAAAAAGACAGACTAATAAAGATGCTATTACCAAACCTAATATATCCAGTGATGGCTAGAACCCAGGTAGAACATTGAGAAAGGTAAATAATTAAAATAGCAAAAATAATAAACACCGGATATGTTTGAAAGAAAATCAATAAAAGGTATGTTTGGTTAGATATGGGATACAGATGTAGAAATGACACGAAGATCAAGTGAGTATTGACACTGTCGAAGAAAGAAATACTGGAAAAATAGCAAATCACTAGGAAAATCAGAAGATCAGTTCTTGGCATATCCTTGTGAGTTGTGTGGCAGAAATTAGAGATGTATGAAAATATTTTTTCTTCTCTTCGGTAGGACTTCAAATGATCATACTTTCTTAACCCACTTGATTGCATTTACCCAAACAAAAAAGACACAACAATGACCTAGATCACTTCTAGTCAGAAGCTTCCAGAGTCAAGGTGAAACCAGTCCCATCCTCTTCTTCTGCAAAGGTGATCAATAAAGTGTAGCCACCAGGCAACCAATTTTACACATGGAAAATGAGGACAAAACACTTGTCAGGTGGAGTCCCTAGAGTCTGGAGGCTACTGCCATAGCTACATCTTCCAAACTGACTCAGCATCCAAGCGGAGATTGTAGTTCTATTAGCAGCAGAGTATATTATTCAGAGGCAAGGAATAAAATTGGGGCCTCCTTAATACATTTAAGTAATGACACTGGCTGAAGTGAATAGGAGAACAGAATACGCTTGGAAAGATTCCTGGAGAGTTCAAAATTAGTAGGAGAAAAACAAAGGAAGGGTTAAAAATGCTTGACAAGAAATGTACTCATTACCTTACTCATGTAACTGTAAGTCCTCTGTACAGCATCTTTATAATAAAGTAATTTTTAAAAGAAGTATACACAAATTGAGAACTGATCCGAAAAGGAAGATTGAAAGCCAGATAAAACAAGTAAGCTAATTGCTTCTGTTAGGTCTGGAAACTGCAAGTTGATCATGTATTTAATGTCCATATTGTATGTGAGCTTTACAAAGCACATTGTTAGATATGATACCCAGTCACTCTTGTACTTTGGGAAATAAGGCAAAAGCAGTCCATAGCTGAAGGTAGTCTTTCTGTGGCAGGTGACATATTCTCAAATGTATTGAATGTATCAAATGTATTGAATTAAAAAAGAGATCTAAGTATAATTTGTTTTTTTATGGCATTTAATAGACCACATTATATTTTCTGTTGTAGTTTAGAACTATCAGCTTCACAAGTTGCCCTAAAATCCTCTTTCCATTTTCCTCATCTTCTCATCTATTCAGTCAACATTAAAAAAAAGTCTGCCTTTGAGTATGAATTATTCTCATTTTAATGCTTAGTATTTTATTTATTAAATTACTCATTTTAATAAACATCAATGTTTCACAATGCTCTTAAGTTTTCTTTGACTGCAGGAAGTAGATTGAGGGAAAGCAATAGTATGTTTCTGCTTTGGAGTCTGAAAATATAATGTTGCCTAGCTGTTAACTTATTATAAACATCAACAAGTATAATATTAACAACTACAAAGAAAAAACTCCAGGATACTTTTCTCCCTGTATGACCCCCAAATAGTCTATGTTCCCAAATTTTGAACAATACAATATATCGGGCCATGATGAATAATGTCTGATTTCATATAGAAAAACAGAGCATCATGCAGAGCATCTATTCACCAGTTTCCCATATTACATTTTAATACTTGGGTCCACTGTGAACAATTTGCTCTTCTACTACATAAACATTTCTCCTCTCCTTTAATACACTGTATAAATACTATTAACTATTAGTTGAGCTACTCAATGCCACAGCGTTGACCCTTGCAGATAGATACACAGTGAATATCCTTTGGGTTAGAGAAGGTTTGCTAAATTGACATTTATAAGACAAGCTAAACTAGATTCCTTTTTCCCCTTGTCTTAAGTCTTTCACTTACTCTGGAGGTATTCCTGCAGACTTCCATGTCTCATCAACTCGGTAATAATATAAATTGGATCTTCTAAAGTGCAAACAGCATAAAGCTGGATAAGCTTTGGATGTCTTAGGCTCTTCATTATCTGCGCCTCCCTCAGGAAGTCATTTGGATCCATTGAACCTGAAACAAGAAAAGGAGGAAATCATTTTATGTTATTGACCCATTCCTATTCTTACAGCAGCCTGGTGGGAATCACCAGAGATTGCCTCCTGCCTCTCAGTAATGTAAGAGCATCAGTGTCACAAATCTTCCAAGTTATCAAAGAAGAGAATCAGTTCAACCAGGGCAACCTAATTACCAGATGTGTTGTTGTATCAGGAGGTATGCAGTTTATATGTGATGACCTGTAGGTGAAGAGCGCTTGATCTGGGTCCCCTATGAAAAATGAAGAGAACAAGAGAGACTGACAGTCTAATTGATAAAACAAGGTGGACGTCTTCAGAACACAAAGAGAAGAGAATCTATTAACATGAACACTGAAGTATGTTGAATGTTTAATTACTCAACTCAGAGCTCTTTGTTTCAGGGAGAAACTGATGGCTGCCCTACCCATGGGTCCCTACTTGTAGGAATAGCTGGAAGAAACAACTTTAAAAAATGGCATTCTATCGAATTTATGTCCTTCCTCTTATAGGAACATGGACCACAGGCTAAGCAGAAAACATTCAAGGGACATATGCAAAAGGTACAGCTTCTTTTCACCAGCTTTATAGATTTAAAGTGAAATTGATATTTAACATTCTCTCCTTTATTATCTGCTTCCATTATCAAATCCCTAAAAGTTTGACCAAGCGATAAAGGAGATGATATTTCGGGCTATTTGAGGATCCATCTATAGTTAAATTGTACTTAAAAGGTCCAACTCTGACTCACTGGGGCAACATGCCAAGTCATTCACATCCAATAAAATCTAAAAGGAAGGATACCTGGAGTTTACATTTCTTTAGTAATTTTGAAATCTTTTGTGTCCTGTAGGATATGATGATTGCAAAGCATTATTAGAACTGATGGAATACTGTCATGTCTCACCTTAGTATTCACTAGAGATACTCTATTGTCCATGAATGCTTAGAAGCCATTCCTCCATCATCATTTCCCATAATAAAGATATTACAACCAATATTTGAACCCAGGCATAAATGCACTGTATGAATCCAAGGCAGCATCATGACCTATCTATTAACATGAAGCTAAGAAGAGTTACAAGTGATAATCCTTCGAGAGTCTCAAAGATCAGCATGCAGGTCCAACAGACTCTGGATTATTAAGAAACCTCAACTCTGCTGCTAGCTCCCTGTGTGATCTTAAGCAAGTGATCCAACCTCTCTGAGCTTCAATGGTTAATTATCCTGTTCACACTGTAAAGTATTTATCAGGATAATAGCAATACCAGGAACAAGTAGTCAATGATGGCTGATCCTTATTTTTACTATTATACACTTGCATGCTCTTGAGAAATCCAAACAAACCAATTGGTAATCATTTTACACTGATTGAAGACAGGACAAGGCCTTAAAATATATTTCCTATTCTTCCATCACATTATTTTTGAACTCCCTCAATTCCAACTCTACCACTGGTTTACTCCATATAATCAAATAAGACAAAATTTAGAGTCATAATAGAAAACTGTAGCTGGAAATAAAAGAGGCTCCTACACCAAAACAAATCACTTAGTTCTTGGTCAAATAGTTGTTAAGCTAGTGGTATGATTAGCCTGTGGTCAAATATGGATACTTTATTATCCAACACTCAAATTTTTAAAAATAATAATCTGATTTATGGAGCTTCCAAGGATAGCACCAATTGCAAGCATCATTCAATTTCTGCATGACAAGGCAACCATTCCCAAGCCAGAATATGCGTTAAGAGCTGAAATCAGGCTTCTCTGCCGGTAATGCTATTAGAGCACTGCCCAGTGGCCACAATGATTACAGCCCACTAGCTACAGTACAATGGAGACCCAACCTCAACTCAGCTAGCAGCACAACATTAAATATTAATTTTTGCCTGTCAAAGCTTCTGTGAGAGTTGATTTCAAGCTCATCTTTATTGCGTGGCAGTCAGTTAGGCAATAAATAGCTGCTAAAATTGATAAATGGCCCCAGTGAAGTGAAGACATTTAACCAATCACCAAAACTGTTTGCTGCTATTACACTGTAAATCAATAATAATTATTCCTGTTGCAAAGAAAACAATCATGGCTTTTGCTTAGTATAATAAATGCGATTTTTGTTGTTCTCTTTTGACCTCCAGAAGGCTGCCTTAGGAAGCAATGTTAGGAAAGATATCTTGCTGCTTGGTTTGTTTGTTTGTTTTTGGTTATTTTGGAGGGTGGAAAGAATGATTTGGTTAGACAGTTTCATATTTCAACAAGATCAGGATTTAAAAGACTATCTACTTGGTGGCTGAAAAAAGTCTCAGGTGCTGGAGTACTAATGATTGTCTTTAGCTGATGTACTCAGATGACAACTGGTCATATAAAAGTGCCTCAAATTGGTTTACCCGGCAGATAAGAATGCTGGAACCAAACTACTACTGTACTTGTAAATCTGTTCCTCAATGGGTACATCCGTCCAATGCACTTAGAAGCTAACATTTCCTAAGAACTCACTGCATACACTTTATGCACATTAACTCAATGCGTCCTCATAAAACACTACAGATCAGAAATGATTATAATACCTACTTCCAGGTAAGGAGGTTCAGAAAGGTCAATCAATTGTCCAAATGTTACAGAGAACTGAATCAAGTTTGAACTCAGGTTCATCTTACCCCAGACTTCATGCTCTTAACTATTATAATCCTAAGAACCCAACATTTTCAGTTCCTGCTATTCTGAGCATCTCCTTGCTTTTTCATAATAGACTACGACAAAATGAATTCTTAGTAACCCTCTGAGTTACTTGGTTAGCTCCAAATTACTAAGAAGATTTTTCCCCTAAGAACTTATCATTTGAAAATTTTATAAGAAAGTGTCACTTCCATGGGATGTATGATACTATAGTAGTGATGGATGTGTGTTCAATTTCCAGCATTGCCATTTATTGACTTAATAATAAGAACAATTATGATTATATATTTTACTGGTGACTATTATAAACCACAAGTTATGCAAAGCATTTCTACTAATGACCTAATTTAGTTTTCGTACAACCCTTCAAGGCTAGCCTTATTGTTATCTCTATTTTTCCAAATGGAGATAAAACTGAGGAACAGAGTAGTTCAAATTTTTGCTCAAGAACAGTTGAGTAGCAAGCCATAGCAAAGTTACTCAATCTCTCTAGATTCTTTCAGCCCATCTTTAAAATGGAAAGACTAATTGATTCTCTGGCTGGATGAATATTGATCTTACACTATGTTTACCTTCCAGGGAAGAGGAAATGAAGATGGAAAAAAAAATAGTTCCTAGATTTTCAAAAATGAACTTAGTTTTAGATGGATCATTTTCTCTTTAATCATCCAATCAGTGTTTAATACAGTTAATCTGTGGATGGTACCCATATTCAATCTGGGTTTTTTTTTAACATTTTAGTCAATTTTTTTATCTAAAGTTAGGAACAAAGGGGAAGAAGAACATTAAAAGATTGAATCCTAACTTTAAAGAAGAAATGCACTGGTAGAAGCTCAGTTTGGGCTGTTTTAAGCTTAGCTGATTCAGGGAGCTGGTTTTGTTTCAAGGCTGTCGGTGGGCCAGAGTAGAAAGAATGATGACAACATTGGATCACTGATCACCCTGGCTGTCCCATAACCTCTTAGACACTTATCGTAGCAAGCTGTGCTCATAACAATCAGCATATGCCATTTCAACTTTGATATTCTCCTACCTGGTTTTAACGTTTTGACGGCAACTGGAGTGGTATTGTTCCACAGGCCTTCCCACACTTCTCCGAACTGGCCGGATCCCAGTCGCTTCAGGAGCTGTACAGAATTGCGGTCTATCTCCCACTGGTCTGCCGTTTTATAGGACAAATCAAAAGGAGTTGGGACCTGTATCTGTTTCCCAGAAGAAGGAAAATACGGTAGACGTGATGCTTTTTGTGAAAAATAATCATCTGGGTACATTTTAAGAGAAAAATGGTCGCTTTGAAAAGAACAATACAATAAACGACATTCTAATTACTTTAAAGTGGAAAACCATTGTGGAAGGCTGCACTCCTAACTCTTTTCACTGATCCTGTCCCCAAACCTACAGCCCCAAGTCTGTCTATCTCATCCATCCGCACCCATCAGGCTCACACAGCATGACACAGCCTGACACAGGTCTCTGCCAATTTGCCTACTAAATCCTCCCATGTCAAAATTTATTCAGCATTCCAACTCACTTGCAGGTCCTCCCCACACCCTGCAGTTAAATCATTTATTTTTAGATATCATATTTTGCAGAATAAAATTATATTGTTTCAAAATTACTATTTACTTGTTCACTCCTTTAATCTTTTAGTTATTTTTTTTAGTGGGTCATGGGGCTTGAACTCTGGGCTTGAGTGCTGTCTCTGCGCTCTTCAGCTCAAGGTGAGTGCTCTACCGCTTGAGCCACAGCTCCACTTCTGGTTTTCCAGTGGTTTATTGGAGATAAGAGTCTCACAGACTTATCTTCCCGGGCTGGCTTTGAACTGTGATCCTCAGATCTCAGCCTCCTGAATAGTTAGGAGTACAGGCGTGAGACATCAGTGCCCAGCTTCTTTTAGTTAATTTTTAAAAGTTCTAATCATCAGCTGGGGATCATTCAGTAAACAAAACTGGCACACAGCTCTGCCTTCCTAAAGTTCAGTCAAGTTTAGCATGCGCTGCACTGTCTCTTTTGAAACTGACATTGTATAACAAATACTCCACTATCTCAAAGGAAAGAGAATTCAAAGACAATCCAACATAGCTTGAGAGCATTTCACCTTTAAGCATGGTCTACCCAGTCTGACACACAGGCCATCACTTTGATTGCTGTAGTAGTTTACAAATTCATTCAGTGTGGAGAAAGTTTGTCTTCGGGTAAGGAAAAAGCCCCCTTCATCCAGTCTTCTGATTCTGTAGTGTTTCACAACTCCTTCATCTAAAACTGAAACCCAAAGTAAGTCTGGTTAGTAAGCTTCTTGTCATAACCAAGCATCATGCAGTCATTTCATTCAATGTATACTCTTTAAATATGAGGGAGAACAATGAAAGGGGTGACATTGATCAAGATACATTGTCCTCATGGCCTGACTCTGGGATTGAAAGCACTCTATGCAACTATATCATAAAAATGAATTTTAGGAAAACCACACACATTTCTTTGTATTGTGATGATTTTTCAATGTAGAATTAAATTGACACAAAATACTGTATTTTTCAAGTTCTTAGAAAATGCTCAAGGAAATTTACAATGGATACACTTAACAGTAGAAAAAGACTGATCTAACTACTTAATTTTCTTTGAAAAAAAGGATTAACAAAAGAAGAAAAAAGAACTGGGGATCACACTGAAGGAAATAGAAGGTAAAAATAAAGTAGTGTGCTTGGCACTGAAATCATCCCATGCTTGGAAGCCATATAATATGTATATAATACTTACTGAACAAGCTATAGAAATGGACTCTGGTGATCTAACTTTACCAGTTTCAGAAATCATAGTGTCCAAAAGGCAACATCATAAAGGTATTAAGAAACAGTTCAACTCTTCCCAGTAATGCTACCCTTGGAATTTGATGATGCTGAGCCTGAAATAAAATGTATCCTTAGTGCTACCTTATCATATTATAAGGAATTCCACAGGTTTCTCATTACACTGTCCCTCAATGCAAGAAGATAACAGCATATCCCAGCACAGTTCAATAAAAGAATTTCTACAGGGCCTACATAATGTGGTGTGCGTGTACAACTTCTCTGATTAGTCCTAGGATAAATTTGACAACATCTGTACAAATAAACTGCATCCTTTTTAGGTAGTCGGACTTACTGTGTATATGTTGTTACATCTGCCTGCCACCAACCACTGTCTCTTCCATTGTTAACAGCATTCCAATTTTCTCAGAGAATCTTTGCTCCTGTAAGAGCTTGTGTTATAAAGAGACCTCATCCCTGCCCTGAGCTAAGGAAGGTCCATGATCACTTCTAGGACTCATGTTAGGGAGCTCCAGAAAGACAAAAAGAATGTTGCTATTGCTGGTCTCATTGCTTTGTGTTTTTACTGAAGACTTCGGAGTTATCAGGAAAATTCTTTCCTACAGCAGAGAGGCAAGCTTACCAGAAGTAAAACATCTCGATTTAAAAAAAAAAAGTAGTCTTCATTTGGAAAGCAAAACTTAGCCTCTAGAGTTGGCAACCTGTCTTTTCAGCAATAAGGGTTGGGTAATTTTTGTTTAAATTAGTTTAAATCAGATGTCCTGCACAAGCCTTCAAAATACTGACTGACACAATTCATGCTTACTGATCAACGTATTGGCCAGCATGGATCACAAATACATCTATCCTGAGGTCCTTCAAAAACAGCTAAGCTAAATCAATGTTCTCATGAAAAGAGAGAAAACAGAGTCAAATATTTCTCACTTCAAACTTGGTAGTATACCCAAATATGGCAATGGCTAGACAAGATTTTCTACAAAACCAATCAGCACACACCAGCCTAGCTAGAGTGAAAAATTAAGAGGATACCAAGTGTTAACAAGGAAGTGGAATGATTTCTCATACATAGTTGATAGAGGTGTTATTCTTATAATTATTTCATAAAATTGGTTATTGTATACTAAAAATTAACATTGTCATACTTATAGCAATTCCATTCCTAAACATGACATCAGTAAAAATGCATGGCATAGTCACTCAAGTGTATGTGTATGAGTCATTCTAATGGCAATATTTTTAAAAGCCTGTGTCTGGAAACAATCCAAATGCCTACCAGCTGATGTAATAGAGTTAATTAATAAATATTGCATATTTGTCTGGCAGAATGCAATATAGATTTGTAATTAAACATCTATAACAACAACCTAAAGTGAATCCATACACTTATGGCTTCAGTGTGAAAATGTTTTAAAACAAAGCACAACCATTGACATATGAAGTCAGTGAAAAAGGGCATCAGTAGTATTTTATGTTATGACTGAATAGGGGTTACATGGATGTGTTTAGTCTGTGAATATTCATTAAACATTTGTGAATTGTACAGCTTTCTAACATGTATCATGCATTTAAAGAATACTAAAAATATGATTATCTGCTCTTGTTTGTGTTCAAACCCCCAAGCTGCTACATGGTGGAACCAAAATACTACCTGATTTCTACCTTGGATATAAAAAAATTCTCAGTATTTATACAACAACATCTTTAAGGAAATAAATTTTCTCATAGGTGAGGAGAATCCTGGTTACAAAATGCCTTCCTAAATCACTGCCAGACTTCACTTGTGATATAGTGATATTTATCGGGTGTCATAAAAATATAGGAAATATTAAAAGTAAAAAGTAGAGGATTACAATGCTAACTTTGATGGTATCTTTCCCTTACCAACATTAGTAAAAAAAAAAAAAAAAAGAAGAAAATGATGCAACCAATATAGCAGATCAGCACCACTAATAAGTAATCACATGCCTTTCATTATTTCTAGTAATATTAAATTTACTCAAAGCAGATTACACTCCACCATCCTTAGCTAAAAGTGCCACATAAGTTTTTCTGCTCACTTTTAGAGATCAGACAATCATAGTTCATTTAAAATTACAGACTCCAAATTCAAACTAAGAATGCTCAGTCCAAGAGATTACCCAAAACACTCCATTCCTTGATAAAAGGTCTTATTTCTGCCTATCCAAAACCCAGGCCTGCTTCAGACTGAAAAAAGCAATAGTATTTTTTTAACGTGGGTAGTTCCCTCTTTATTTCTCTGCCTAGAGCTGCTTTCTCCCCTTCCCCTGCCTGCTGAGATTCAAGGGTAGGAGCAGTGGAAGGAGAGTGTGAAGGATGAGTTGGCTCACTTAAATGGCATCAAGGCTGGTGGGCTTTGAGCCTGCTGAGGGCTTCCCCTCTGACTCCTGTCTTGGACTTCATGACCATCTTTTGAAGCTTTCCCCTTCCCGCCAGCAGCTCCACTGCAGCTCCCAAGAGACAGGAGTTTCCCAGGCTGCCTGCACCCAGAGCCTCTCAGCTTCTTTTATTGTCAGTCCACCTAGCACACACTCCCCGCATCCTTTGACAGAAGCTCACTTGGATAGAAGAACCCCAAACTCCTCCAGACTACCCATCCGCAGATCTCTGGCACATTTGTTCTGGAGGGAAGCCACCCCTTTATAGTCTGGTTCTTGTCTTCTCCATTAGTTATTGGGAGGAGAGGCTGGGGCCCCAAGGCATCGCTAATATTCTCCCACAGGTTATCTTAATCTTCTCAAGCTGTATTGGGCACCTGTTCTTCTCTCAATTCCCAACTGCAGAGAGCAGAGAGGAGGCTCCCAGATCGGCCTCCCTCGAGCTCCTCCTCATAAGATTGAGGTGGTAATTAGGAAAGAGTGAGGATGCACAGTTGTGTTTAGTGCTTTCTCCACAAGCAAAATGCCCTTAGCAAATTCTTCCTCCCTTTTACTTCTTGTGTACTTTCAAAATCACTAACAAGAGGAGGGATCCACAAGCAGCAATACCTGTCTTGGACCAGTTTCTTTGTAAACTCTATGAGAATCTGTCTTTGGAATTTTATTTCTTTTTGAAGAAATCAGTTTATTCTAATAAACTCAAAATAACATCAGAATAATGAAGGCCACACAAACACCTCTCAGCGCCAACTCTATCCCATCTCAGTGAAGTTGTATTAAGATCACAATACCCTCTTCCAAGGCCACTCTGAGGCAACCATGCAATTAACAACAAGAAGTTAACTTATAGTTTTACACTCTATAGTGTCACTACCAATTACATTTCCATGATAAATTAACTTGGTCATCAGAGGTGATTTTCCATTTCTTCAGCTTGAACTTCATGGTTAAACTAGTCCAGTTGCAATTCTGCTTCAGCACCTCATTGAAGTCCTCACAGAGCTTAAAATCACCCAGGTTCTGGGCACACTCCAAAAACTGCTTTCTTTCATAGGAGCATAGGCCACTAAGCTGCTTCTGCTGCTGCTGCTGCTGCTGCTGCTGCTGCTGCTGCTGCTGCTGCTGCTGCACCAGCTGAGTTCCCTGGGGCTCCTGATAAGTGATGTCCCACCTGGCAGGCTCAGCATTACCAGCTCCACTGAAGCCGCCAGTGACAGCATGGCCCAGTGTGTGCCCAACGGCAGAGCCCACAGCTACACCAGCGGCTGTGGACGCCATCTGGGCCATCAGCCCAGGCTGCCAGGGAGATGGGAATCATTTTATTTTAGAGCATCGGTCAAAAATGCCATTTAAGTAGTCTATGATGCCATATTTATTGATCTAATCACTATACTATGCTCTATTTTACATTATCTTATGGTGTCTTCATTCAAGTTACATAAGGTAGATATTACTAGGCACATTTTACTAATCACAAAGTTGGAGGTGACAGAGCCAGAATTCAAACCTAGGGCCTTATGACTCTAAGAGTCTTCATAACCAGTGGGTTTCCAGTAAAGTTTGAGTTGTTAAAGATGTGTCCACTTTAGTTGGGCACTGGTGGCTCACACCTGTAATCCTAGCTGCTCAGGAGGCTGAGATCTGAGGATCGTGGTTCAAAGCCAGCCTAGGGAAGGAAAGCCCTTGAGATTCTTATCTTCAATAAATCACCAGAAAACCAGAAGTGGCACTCAAGTGGTAGAGCGCTCACCTTGAGCTGAAGAGCTCAGGGACAGTGCCCAGACCCAGAATTCAAGCCTCACAACTGAAAAACTAAACTAAAATAAAAAAGATATGTCTACATCATGATCATAAAATGACATAATTTGCATATAAAAGCCTTTACTTCCAGCTTTTTTAATTAAAAGCCCCTCCATAAAGAATACCTGTTTCTTAAGTTAAAATCTTTTATGACCAATGAATCCTTGTAATCTCATCTGTCAAGTTACCAGTTCCACTGACTACAACTCTTGGAGAAAGAATAATTGCCCTATATTCTCAACATCTAATAGAAATTTGA